AGTAGCAGAAAATATAGTCGGAATGTCCACGTGGCGTCTCTGCTCTTATGATGGATCAAATTATCATTGGAAGGCTATCAGTCCGAACTTGCCATCGAAACTCGATAATGACCCAAAAGGCCCTCCTATTGCAAAATACCCTTCCATGGCCGATCTGCTAAGTGAAGGTAATGATTAATCGCTAAAATTATATACCACTATATTTTTATTTTGTACTCTAAAATTTCATAGATCGCACGCATGTAGGATGTTCAAAGCTTATTGAGAACGATGATAGAGGAGTGGATAAATACCCGATGTTTAAAACCGAAATTGGAAACTCAATGGCGTTGAAAGAATCTTCAATTGCAAAAGCAATATATATCCTCAAAGAAGACGACGTTGGCTCTACTGATACTCCAAGTAAACGTTTCTATCTTCTATTTAAATTTATTTAATGTTTGCTTCAGTTCCAAATAATAATATATATATATATTAGTTAAAATTATTACATTAATAATTTAATAATACAAAAACAAGACAATGTTATTTTATAAAGGATAATCTATGAAAACGCCTCTTCATTGACAAGATGTGTGTTTCCGATGATTTTTTTTTATTAAGCTAAGATGATTACAAAATAGTTTATTTTCTAAATACTCTCAACCGTTTGACAATGAACGCTTAATCACCCTACTGCAGTCGTTGGTGCTCGAACTCGTGACCTCTAGGAACAATAACGATTGTTCATACTAAATAATACTCTTTTTGTGTTCGATTGATTTTTGAATATATATATATATATATATATATATATATATATATATATATATATTATTTTTTAAAACTAAAACATTGATCTTTTGTAAGAAAAATATATAAAAACGCCTCTTGATTGATAAGAAGTGTGTTTTCGAGGATTGTTCGTACAAAAGAACATTCTTTTAAATTTTAAAATGGTTTTATTCTGTAATATAAATATTAAATATATTATTTTATGTTTTCAAGTTGCATTTCTCATATTTGCTTAACTTTTCATCATTCGTTTAATTTAATAAATCTCGAGGCAATGTTATTAAAATTTGGGGCATTGATAAGATAATGTTCTAACTGACAGAATGACAATTTATGTTCATTCCTTAAATTAAAAGATCATAATTTGAATGTATATTCGAATATTATTTTCTTGTATTTATTTTAAGTTGAACATATATATTTGTATTTCCTTCATTTTGCTCCATGTTAAGTAACCTTTGTATTTGACATAGCTTTTTGTTTCACATTTCTTTTATTTTGGTATATATATATATATATAATATATTGTATTATTATGAACTCATATTAAAGATAAACTATGTGTATGTGTATGTTTATATATATGTAGTATAGTATTTTTTTCACCTTGGTAATACATATATATATATATATATATATATTAGTGAAAAATATTCTATTAATATTTTAATAATATAAAAACGAGACAATATAATTTCGTAAAGGATAATTTATGGAAACACCTCTTGACTGACAAGATGCGTGTTTCCGAGGATTTTTTTTAATTGAGCTAAGGTGGTTAGAAAGTAGTATTTGTTCTAAATACTCTCAATCGTTTGACAATGAACGCTCAATCACCCTGCTATAGTCCCTTGTGCTCGAACTCGTGACATCTAGGAACAACAACGGTTGTTCATGCTAAATAATACCATTTTTGTGTTTTATTGATTTTTGAATATATATATATATATATATTATTTTTTAAAACTAAGGTGTTGATCTTTTGTAAGAAAAATCTATGAAAACGTCTCTTGATTGAAAAAAAGTGTGTTTTCGAAGATTGTTCTTACAAAATAGCATCTTTTTAAATTTCAAAATGATTTTATTCTGTAACATAAATATTAAATGTTTTATTTTATGCATTCATGTTGCATTTATCACATTTGTTTAACTTTTCATCATTCATTTAATTTAGTAAATCTCGAGGCAATGTTGTTAAAATTTGGGGCATTGATAAGTTAATGTTCTAACTCACAGAATGATGATCTATGTTAATTCCTCAAATTAAAATGATCATAATTTAAATGTATATTCGAATATGCAAGTTCAATATTTAGATGACGTATAATCTCCTAGTTACTAATGTTAGGCGATGTGAGACTGCTCATCCTTTCCCACGTTTAATCAACTTTCAAACCCTTTTCAAAATGATTTTATGGTTTGACGCAGAGTATTTTATCTTTTAAATTATCTTAAAAGATATTTTTAGGTATTCAACCTACCTAATCCAAAGGTCGATGGTGAGTCCAATTATTTGTTTTTTCAAATCCTAATCTTTTAAATTAAGTTGGATCACTCCCCGCCTAACCTTAAAAAGGTTAAGGATCATTCCGACAGTAATGACATATTTATTTTATCTTGTTTACTAATATAAGGCATTGTCATTATTAATTCAGTTATTATTCTATGTATATTAATAAATTGAACCATAATAAAGTCTTGGAATAATATGATTATTCTTAAAAGTTCTTGGTAAAATATTATTGTGGGTTTGGAAAACAATAATGCATTAAAATTAATGTGTAGTTGATTGATGACACTATGTTATCATTGACGTAGAAATATCCAAATCAATAGATATGTATGTGTTGAAGAACAACATATTAGATTAACCTACTTTGAGTATATTTCTTGGATCATTATGTGACAGTCACAATATTACTCATAGTGATAACTACTTGTATGATCCTGAGACTTGAGATCATCACTATTCCAACATTGTAAATCGCATGTTTTGATACAATCAAATGTGTTGTAAATTGTTATACTATAAAGATTGATGTTGGGCATGTCATGATCTATGTAGTGAGATATGATTGATCAACATAAAAAAAATTTCTTCCTACATAATTAGAGTAACATCTCAAGTTGTTTGATTGAGTAAAACTATAAACCGTGTCACACTCTGATTTATGGGTTAAATTTTTCTTAAAAATTTTTGAACCAAAGTCGTGATACGGGGAGAATTCGAGGAATTAAAGAGAAATTATACATTTTTAAAGTGGATATAAACTCCCCCACTTTTCTGGAAAGCCTTTTTAGTACTTTAGTAAAAGAGCAACATGTTTCTCTTTCCCTCTCTTAAGTTTTTTTTCACTCCCCAAGAAGCATTTATTGTCTTCATCCAGTGTTTGTCTGTCTCACCACAAACATCAATGTGTTCCCGTAGTTGAGAGGAGTCGGTCGGTCTTTGAATTTAACGTCACCGTCGGTGTGAAAAGGGGTTAGAAGAAGGAAGTTTCGGCCATGGTGAAACCCCCTTCATTATTTTCTATCACAAAATAGCATTGATAATCCCCTACCTTCAAACTTCAATTCTTAAAAAATTACAACCACCACAGCAGCCATACGCGCCCCCACACGCCACCTCTCTACATGTAGGTGTCTTCTTTTTGGAGTTTTCTAAAAACTACTCTAAATCAGTCAAGGTCGCTTGAACCGGTCTAGCCAAGTTGAGACATTGAGTTGAGTCGAGTCGTTGAACCAAGCCAAACTGTTGAGCCGAGCTAAGCCGTTGATCCGAACTAAACCATTGATCCAAACTAAACCATTGACCAAGCCGAGCCATCATTGACCGTTGACTAACCGTTAACTTTTCAAAGAACACATAACTTGATTTTTTTTACGTCCTCAGTCTGTTATTGAGGTTAGTTATGCAAAATTCAAACACGATAAATTGTTTTTCAATGTTTGACCTTCTGATTTGATCTGATTTTTATGTTTCAGTTTAGTTTCTGATATAATTCATTTTTTTATGTATTCGAAATATTATAGGACATCAAATTCAAATTCAAGAGTGATTGAAAAGAGTTTAAATGGTGGACTAATGTAGTTCGGGATCAAAGTAATGCTTTATTATCTTATGCATGATTTAAGTGATAAAAACGTCACAGCAGACGATGAATGTAGCTCTTATCGAATAATCAAACCTATAAGGGGGTGTTTGGATGGGGGAATGTGGGATTCTCATTGGAAATGGAATCCACATTCCCTCGTTTGGTTAGCCCGAGAATCTCATTACCGGTAATGTAAGATTACCAATAGTGGATTTTTTTTGGGTATATTACCGGGAATGTCATTACCTCCATTTCCTTAGGTATTGTTGGATTACCGACGTTTTGGACTAAAATGTCCTTCAATTTTTTTTAAATATCATTTTTCTGTCATTGAATAATAAAAATTCTATGAATATTAAATTACAAATTTATCCTTAAACTATTTTAGATTTACAAAAAAAAACTATAATTAAAATTTTATGAATTTAAACTTTTTAAAGAAAATATATAAATATTTTCCAACTTGTTAAAAAAACAAATATATAATAAGGACAATTTGGTCAAATATACATTACAATAATCTTTTATTCTTTTAACCAAACACGATAATCTTACATTCCTGCTAAACCAACCAAACACAAAATACAACATTACCAGTAATCCTATTCCTTGGTAATCTTATATTCCCACTGGTAATTTTCCATTCCGTGAACCAAACGCACCCTAAAACTCTAGACTCAATCAAAGAATGAGAGGAAGACAGAAGATGATGATGTGCGACAGCTAGGGTTTTGTGGAGTTTAGGTTGTTAAAAAATTGAACAAGAGAGATAATATGATGATAAATAATATAGAATAAAGAGAACAAAATAAAAACAAAGATAAATAATATAATAGGATAGAGATAACTTAGTCAAAGTTAGAGTTTTGGTGATGATGGGCGAGAATGGTGATTTGATGATGATGAAGAAGATGGAGTCGAGTTGTATTAAAAAATGAGTAGTTGAGTTTATGAGTCTTATTTTGTCAATCGAGATTAATTTGAAATTTTATCAATTGGAGTTGAACAAATTTTACTGAATCGATGAAGCACCAATGTGACATATGTATTTGCTTTAAGCCTTAGTGCTTCATTAAGCTTCTGTGGATTGGGATGTTGGTTTGTAAGCCTTCATAAAGTCTTCCTCTTCAGATTGCGGAGTTGATTCATTTATATTGTTTAAGAGAAGGTACCCCATGTTTCCGTGGATATGGAAGACGTAATGGTGAACGCAGAAGGAAGTCTGTTCGTGGATGCATTTTCAGCCAAGACCTGTCTGTTTTAAACTTGGTTACAGTGAAGAAGGGAGAAAATGATTTGCCCGGGCTTACTGACACTGAAAAACCGAGGATGAGAGGTCCAAAGAGAGCATCCAAGATCAGAAAGCTCTTTAACCTTTCCAATGAAGATGATGTCCGGAAAAATGTTAGAAACCAAAATGATCAAAACCTGAAATGACTTGTACTTGGAATCACCTAATTCCAAAATGATCAGAACTTGAATTGTACCTTCTTCAGCATAAACACAACGCTTAATGTGCGCAATATGTTGAGATTCTCTTAGATGTTTTTCATGACGGGATGTAATGTTAAAATTCATGCACGTATTGCATTTGCAAGCCTCAGTCGCCCACTAGTGGCAATTTCATTATCGAACATTTAGTTACTGATCAGTGTTTTATGGGATTTCAAAGGCAAGAAGGTCAGTAAAGCTCCAAAAATCCAGCGGCTGGTGACTCCATTGACACTTCAGAGGAAGCGAACTAGAATTGCAGATAAGAAGAAGAGAATCGCCAAGGCAAAATCAGAGGCAGCTGAGTACCAGAAACTGCTTGCCACGAGGCTGAAGGAGCAGCGAGAGCGCCGTAGTGAGAGTTTAGCCAAGAGGAGGTCCAAGCTCTCTACTGCTTCTAAGCCTTCTGTTGTTGCTTAGATTGCCTTCGAAGTTTCAGTCAACAATGGAAATGGTTAGTACTCAATTTTTGTGATGTTATAAGCTGAGAAATTTTGCTTAATTTTCAATGTTCTGTTATATTTTAAGTACTGAAAAGTTGGTTTATATTTTTTTGTGATTGTTGAGTTTGATTTTCTATCGGTAATGTTAATTTTTATTTATTTTTTGGCTTAGTGTTACTTGCCTTGATTGCGTTCTAATTATAGCCCACTAGTTATATGGTGTTGGCGTACGGGCATGGTTGCTGGTCGGTTGTGCAAGCCAATATGTATTGTGTGGACACTAAATTAGGTAGGATTTGTTTTCACTGTTTAAGGTCTTCAAAGTTCTTATGTTTGCGCCGCGCAGACCACGCATAGACATTGGGCTTCGCAGATCATTTGTTTTTTAGAAGACAGAAACTCTTCTAACGTTTGCGCGTCCTCTTTTTGACGCATATGTGGTTTAAGGTCTTCAAAGCTCTTCTAACATCTTCAAAGAACCATTTTTGCTATTAATTTTTTAAAAATTATAAAATGTCATTAAATTTAATAGATAATTACAAAATAGTCATTATAATGTTGTAATAAATTATAAAAGTTCGATAATATAATAATTATTTTATAGTATTTAGATAAATTTATTAATAATTTTATAATCTTTTAATAAATTTAATAATTATTTTATATTTTTTTAAACTTTATTGATGAAAATAATCATTTGTATATAACTCAACGATATCTAATATACTTTATTTAAAAAAATATATTAAACTTAGTAAAAAATATTATACAAATGATCATATTCATCAATAAAGTTTAAAAAATTATAAAATACTTATTAAATTTATTAAAAGATTAGTTTATTTATATTTCAGTTTATTTTAGTAGACTGCAGAAGTTAAAAAATAAACAGTCTTCTTCTTGCAGACTGCATACTTTTGGTCCACCTCTTCTGCTGCAGATGCCTGCAGATGTGGTCCGCAGACTGCAGACATTTTACCTCTGCAAAAACAAACATCACCTTAGTATAAAATGATTTAAGTTTTATAAATAATTACATTAAAAATATAATAGATTGATATTAAAATAATTAATAATTTTAATTTTTTTATATGCAAATATATTTGGATATATTTGAGGTTTTAGTATTTAAATATGTTGAAAAATTTTATTATTGAAATAAAATTCATTCAAATATTTGTTTTTAAGTACAATTGGTTTCTAAAAAATAAAAATAATAAATGTCTGTAGTAGACGTGACAATTTTTAAAAGACGCTTTCTATAGGTCGTATTTACCTATATCTTCTGCAAACGTAATTGTATTGTTTTTTTAGTGTTTAGATTTATTTTAGAATTTAGATTACTTAGGTATTGTTTGTTTTTGCAGAGGTAAAAGGTATGCAGTCTACGGATCACATCTGCAGCAAAAGAGGTGGACCAAAAGTCTACAGTCTGTAAGAAGAACACTGTTTGTTTTTTAACGTCTGCAGACTGCTAAAATAAACTGAAATATAAATAAACTAATTTTTTAAACTTAAAAGAGTTTTGCAATACTGAAATTTAAATAATTTTAGTTTTACAATACTGACATTTAAATAATCCATACAACTACAATAATAATTTTTTTTAAAATAAATCAATTCATATTTTAAAATAAATCAATCCATACTGAATAAATTATTTAATAAATAACCTTATTAAATTAACGTCTGCATACTGCTAAAATAAACTAAAATATAAATAAACTGATTTTTTAAACTTAAAAGAGTTTTGCAATACTGAGATTTAAATAATTTTATTTTTACAATTCTGAAATTTAAATAATCCATGCAACTACAATAATAATTTTTTTAGAAAAACAAACACCACCTTATTAATTCTATTATAAGTCTCACATAATCACATGTATTATTAGTTTTATAAGTTTTATAAAATAAAATTTATAAATGATCATTAAATTATATGATTTTTTAACATTAAATTATCTAAAGTTATATAATAATATTAAATTTTGAATTTTATTATCATATGGCACAACAACATTAATTATCATTAAACTATTATTAATCAATGAATCATACACCTCTCTTTTCAAAAAAAAAATTGTCAAGAGATCCTGGTCTTTATATTTTCCAGACCCCGCTGATGGGATCGAAGCCGTTCTCATGGAATAAGTTCAATGCGTGATCAGTGATGCAATTTGAGCTAGACCTCCAGTTCTTTCCTTTCTTTCGTTAAAAAAGAAAAACATACATACTATATTAGTGGAAAATTTCTCATTTACTCTTTAATTGTAATTAAAATTTATTTGAATATTTTCAATAATTTTATGCAATTATGTAATACTTTTAATTTTTTAAAATATATATAATCATAATTTATAATTTTTTATATTTTAAAATCTTAATTATCAAACAATGAAATCATTTTTTATTAAGCAATGTGGTTTAAATACTTACATTTCGTATAAAAAGTTTAAAAATAATTTAAAAATAACAAATACAAAAAAATATTATATTTAAACTTAAATCAAAATAATTAAAATAAATATAAAATTTTAATAATATATAAAATAATTTATATGATATAAAATTAAATATTTATAATATAATATTAAAACATTAATATTTAATTTATTTAAAAATTAATATTAAAATTAATATCTATAATATAAAACTTATAAAACTAATAATACATGTGATTATGTTTAAAACAATCATATAATTTAATGATCATTTATAAATTTAATGTTCTTTGAAGAGGTTAGAAGAGCTTTGAAGACATAAGGTCACGTCTGTGCCAAGAAGAGGACGCGCAGACGTTAGAAGAGTTTTTGTCTTCTAAAAAACAAACGGTCTGCGAAGCCCAATATATGCGCGGCGCAGACATAAGAGCTTTGAAGACTTTTAACAGTGAAAACAAACACCACCTTAAAGGTTATCTTAGATTAGTGGTTATCTTCTCATTTTTTGTGTTTTAAGTTTTTAATTTTTTTTAAAAATTAATATAAAACGGTTACTACTAATAGTATTTGTTCTAAAGACTCTCAACCATTTAATAATGAATGGTTAAATATTTTATAACTGCTAGTGCTTGAATCTAGGACCTCTATATAACAATCATCTCTTTAACCACTAATATCTTTTGGTTTGGTAAAAAAATTTAATTATTTTATAGAATTATGAGAGATATATGGTTATTTATGTCAAGGTTGGAGTTTTTTCTAACTAATTTAAGGTGCTTACAAGTTGTAGTATTTGTTTTAAAGACTCTCAATCATTTGATAATGAAAGTTTAAATATCATGTAATTTTTGGTATTCGAACCTTAAACCTCTAAAAATAATAATTATTACTTTAGCCATTGAGATATTTAATTCATGTTTAAGGTTAAGTTTTAAATATAACAAAATCATGTTTTGCGAAGGTATTCTAGAAAAAAAAGTATAAAATATAGTAACATGACTTCGCTATTCTCTTTTATATCCATTTCATTGTGAATTTATGTAGATCTCATAAGAACTGAAAATTATCTATTTAATGTGAGATCCAACAGAATTATAGGTAACAGGTCAAGTTTGAACCTTATTTCATTCTGTTTTGTTACCATCGAGAAAACGTATATTTGTATACTTTGAAGACTTGAATATTTTGGGGAGTGTGCAAGATAACTGGGGATATAGATGCTCAATTTTAAGGAATTTGATCAAAAATTGGGATTTGGAGGGGTTTTTTGGGGTGTGTCTAGGTTGGTTAGGAGAGATTAGAGGGATTGACTACTTGATCATGTTTGAATTTAGATTTGGACCTGAACATTGAGCTTGCTTTTGGATTTATTTGAAGTTTGGGTTTAGTTGGAGGGTTCGATTCAAGCTTGATCATGGGTCCAATTCAAGTTTTGATTCAGTTAGACTTGAATCCAATTTGAATTTTAAATTAATAAACTTGAGATTTTGATGTTTGAAATTTAGATAATTTAAATATGGGTAAAGTACATAAATGGTCCTCCGATTATAAGATATTATTTTATTAAGTTACTCGACTATTAAAAGTTATAAAATGGTCATTCTACTATGGAATATTAGTTTGATAAGTCCATCGATTATTAAAAGTTACAAAATGGTTACCCCAAACTCATCCTTTTGTGTTAAAAAATTTACAGTTGTTTAAGTTGGACGTTAATATGGTGACTAGGATATGATAGTCGTTTAAGATTATGAGATCAAATTTTATCATATCACATTCAACAGATTAACATTAAGCTCATAATACAATCCATTTTTTAACGAAAAAGACAAGTTTGGAACATAATGAGTAGTCGGACGACCATTTTATAACTTTTAATAGTCGAGTGTCTTAACAAAGCGACATTATATATTAATATGATCATTTTATAATTTTTAATGATCGAGAGACTTGATAAAGCAATATCCTATAGTTTGTGAACCATTTGTGTATTTTACCCTTTAAATATTTGGATGAATTTTGTTCTCGGGTCTGGTGAAGAATCCTAAATGAATTTTTG